TTATCTTATAAATAAGTAATTTCTACAAAATATTCAGGAAAGCATGATGGTAAAAACAAATTATGGAAAATTCAGAGGTGTTTTATCCCTGATTTAATCACGCAGATGACTAATCCTCTGAATTCTTGGGTTGTCTGAATTTAGTTTGTTTGTATCATAGATACACATGTCAATATTAATCCTGTATTTTAAAAAGGAAAAAAATTTGTTAAAAGCCATTTAATATTTTTGTACCAGTGTTTGACTGTATTGAATTTCAGAATGATAAATTGGGTATTGGTTTGTATGAAAAACCTAAATGTCTGGGTTTTACCTAGAAAATGGTTCACAGTATAACAAACCTAATAATCAGGTGTGCACCCCCCTCTCCCTGTTTTGCTTGGAAAGATGAGGGAGGTGAACAGTAAATTTCCACCTTTGCAACATGGCTTGTCTTAATAATCAGGTCAGGCAGGCATTTGCCTAGAAGACATGAAGAAAGAGGTTAATGACAGACTTGTGTCAATATGAAAATTCTTTCAGTTCTTGACAGGAAGTGACAGTCCAAGCTTGCTTGGCTTGCCCAGATTTGAGCAATTAAGCCAAGTTACTTCAGAGGGTAGAAGCATTTAGAGGGTTTCAAGTACATCACTTCTGAAATGTGTTCTAGCTTTAGCATTTTAGATTCAGTCTCCCCTTTTTCCCCTCATCCAGTCTGGGCCATAGTGACAAAATCATTCAAATGACAGTGATTGGGAAAAGTACCCATGTGTATGTGTAGATTATCTTCTTGAGCTGAACAGCACTGATTTACTTCGTTTTGCTAACTTTGACCCTCACTTGCCTAGAGGAGACCAGGATAGCCAGCCGTGGGATTGCAGCCTGCTGCTCGCTTAACCACATAAGCTACCTGAATTCAAATTGAGGCTGTGTGCCCTCAACCAGGTTACCGAGCCTCCATAAGCATCAGGGTTCTTTCTTCTGTAAGGTGTTAATAATAATTAGTACCACCCCCCACCCCCCCCAGGGTTATCAGGAAGGTTAGTTGATATGTGACAGCTTATGTTAAATAAGGGCTTCACGAATGTAAATACCTGACTATAAAAAAAAAATCAAAGAAAATTAATACTTGGGGAAAAAATTGCTCTTCTAATTCCCAAGATGGATCATTACTTAGGATAGTTTGGAAGTGACTTTTAAAGATAATATTAGCTAAATTTGATAATATTAGCTAAATAAATATTAGCAAATTCCCAAATTTGACTGAACCTGGCTGGTTCAGTCAAAAGAGCATGCAACTCTCCATCTCAGGGTTTGAGTTCAAGCCCCATGTTGGGTGTAGAGCCTACTTGAAAAATAAAAAATAAAGAATATTAGCTAAATTATCACATTCTCCTTTTGATCAGATCCTTTTATTCTTATAAATGTAATGGTCTTTCTTTGGTAAATGAATGGATGAAATGAACAATTGATGAGGTTGGGGCATACATGCCCAGCTCTTGCTCACAAGAGGGATATGAGTCCCAAAACCCTTGCTCCTGATGCTCTAATAGTACACCATCTTCAAGGAAGAGAGGCCCAACTAGCGGCAGATAAACATTTCCTCTCAATATTTGTGATGATTCTAAAAGAAGAAATACAACTAGTAACCAGTCATGATTAAAGTTGTCTGTCTCAGCAGTGTTCTTAAATGCAAATTGAAGACTTGATGAGGTCTTAATTTTTTTGTACTACGTTGATAATGTAGTGATAACATGATTTAAATTATAAATTACCACTTAGTGGCCGAATAAATTGGTATTTAACATACTGACAGCAATTTCATGATGTGTGTCAAGTGCCATGAGTTCATATCTTTCTAAGAATTCCAGATTTGGAATTGACAGAAGAAAAATGTCTGTCTTTAATCTTAAAGTGTATATCAGTAATTATTTAAATGAATGGTTATTATATCCTTGTGGTATAAACATGGCACGATGTTAAAGGCAAAACACAAGGGGCACCTGGGTGGCTCAGTTGGTTAAGCGTCTGCCTTCGGCTCAGGTCACGATCCCAGGGTCCTGGGATTGAGCCCTGCATCAGGCTCCCTGCTCCGCGGGGAGCCTGCTTCCTCTGCCTGCCACTCCCCCTGCTTATGCTCTCGCTGTCTCTGACAAATAAATAAAATCTTTATATTAAAAAAAAACACAAACTACCATGATGCAAGTTCATATGTATATATACACATACACATGCATATATACACATGCACGGCAGGGGAAAGAACATATACAAATAGGCTTATTTTGTGACTGGTAAAATTAGAGGTGACTTTTTCTATATTTTTCCACATTCTAAATTTTCTTAATGTGATGGTAACTTTTACACTAAAAATATTTAATGTAGCACGTAATACTGGTTTACACAGGGAAAAAATAGTACAGTTAAGGGTTCTGGCAAGAAACATGACTCCTAAGAAAATGAAGCTGATGATTGTTTACAAGCAGGTTATTTTTTCCTGCTTCTTCGAGAATTGCATGTGGTGAAAGGGTGGAGGATGAGACATGGAACTCAAGAGCACAGTGGTCTCAAGTCATGATTTTGCTGGTCTGGACCAGAACTGTGGAGCATGACTCCATGGGCCACCTGTGTCAGCCTGCGGTGCCCCCTCCCTGGAGATCGTGCTCCTGGGGACAGCATTCCTGTGGTTCCCCCTCAGATCATCATTTCGCTGCAAGTGAATGTTTAACTCAGAAAGCCAGAGCATTCAGCACTTACCCACATCACAGTGTTGCAGTCTTAAACATTATCTTACTGGAATCAGCATCTGAAAAAAATGCACTGATGTCACAAAAAGAATTTGCTTGCCTGCACCGCTCTCATTTATTTACCAGCAAGTATTTACTGGATTCTTAACTACGTCCCAAGCATTGTTCTAGGCTTTGAGAATCCAACCATGAGCAAAGCACAGTAGGTCTTCCCATGTATCCTATATTCTAGGAGCAGAAGACAGACAGTGAACATCAGGTTATAAGGAAAACAGTATTTTGGTGTGTTTTTAACATCTATGTGCTTATTTGCTGAATAGAGAAAACAGTGAACAAAATTTTGTTCCTGGCACCCACAGCTTCTAGTCTAATGGGAAGGACTGTGTAGTAAGTGTTGTGGGGGCAAGGGCAGCACATGGAACCATAAAAAGGACAAAAAGTATATTCTTGAGCAAGTTAATTTCTCTGAGCCTCTGGTAAAATAAACAAAATTGTGAGGATTCAGTGTAAAATTACCCAGCATTCTGTGGAGTGTATAGTAGCATTACATTGAGCTCATAGTGTTAAAAATTAAATAGCAGGGCGCCTGGGTGGCTCAGTCAGTTGCGTGTCAGATATTGTCTCAGGTCGTGATCTCAGGGTCATGAGATGGGCTCTGCAAGGAGTCTGCTAAGGATTCTCTCCCTCTGCCCCTCCCCCGTGTGCTCTCTCAAATCTTTCTATATATTTTTTTAAGATTTTATTTATTTATTAGACAGCAAGAGAGGGAACACAAGCACGAGGAGTTGGGAGAGGGAGAAGCGGGCTTCCCGCCGAGCAGGGAGTCTGATGCAGGGCTCGATCCCAGGACCCTGGGACCATGACCTGAGCCTAAGGCAGACGCGTAACGACTGAGCCACCCAGGTGCCCCAATAAATCTTTTTAAAAAATAGTAAGTGTCAATTAAGTCATCAGCCAGAACAAGGAATAAAGAACGGCTGGTAACATCTGTATGGCTAATCAGAGTTTTCAAAGGCCTTTTGAGTATATGCTGTTCACCTGATTCATGCAAAATCCTGGGGAGGTAGGTATAATGAAGAATACTGACCCTTTAGTTGGGTCTTATCTGAGCAGGGCATCTCCCCTGCTGCAGAAGAGCAAGACTGCAGACAGCTCAGCGGCTAGAGCTGAAGGTACTGGCTGGAAGTTTGGAGACCTCCAAGAGTGTAAGAGGCCGAATCCTGGGTAATCTTGGAACAGTGACCAGACCAATCACTCGGGCCCTGCACCAAAGTGAGTAAAATGGTCCTGCCCCCAGTGAATTCACAATCTAATTTAACAATCCTTTTCCTTGGCTTTGGAATTCATAATGTGATTTCTTCACTTGTGGATTTCCTTTCCTAATATGCTTTACTAATTCCAGAATTAAAAGTTTGCATTTCCTGAGCTTACTCTGGCCAGGTCCCAAGAGAAAGTGGCCAGCAGCCATTAAGAAGCCAGGAGGGGAACTGGGCTAGGATTAGAAATCACCTGGTGTGCTAACAATCTGTACATCAATAATTATCAAGAGAAGGTTTCTAATGGTTCTTGTCATTGTGATTTGTCTTTCTTTTCCTTTCTCATTGCTTCTTTCCCCCTTTTGAGACCAAAAGAGAAGGGCCTGGGTGCCTATCTGTCAGGCCCTATTTATCTATGCTTCTCAAAAGGAGAGCTTTACTTTTGATTAACAACCCTTCTCCTTTTAAATTCCAAGTACTATCTTGCTTCTCCAACGATGAGAATGAGCAAGAACTGGCCTGCAGTAGGTCAGGCAAGCACTTGGGAGGGTTCCTAAACTTCCACTCTTGCCCCAGCCCCTCCTTCCGTCTCCCCGTTCCTACCCCCACGTGCCTCATCAGCTGCCCAAATGTGTAGACTGAACTGCTTTCCTGTTTCTCCCTTCATTCCCTCCTTTGGTTCCCTGCCACAGGCTTAGCCTTTAACAGCCTCCCTACCTCTGTTCTCACCACCTCCAATCCAACCTCAACACTGCTGTCGAAACGATTTCTCTAAAAAGACCAAGTCTCTCAGCTGCTTTTATAATTTCAAATACAAGCAATAAAGATAAAAATAATAAAACTCATCTAACCGTGTCACTCCTCTGCTTAAAATTCTATAGCTTGAGGATAAAGTCCGATCTCAGCTTGACCCCCAGGTGCCCTTCTCAATCAGCGATCAGCACCTGTGTACTGCTCCAGTCTTATCTCCTGCCAGTCCGCAGCCGCACCCTGCTCTCCCGCCCAGCTGAATGTGTTACTAAAGCTGGCCCTAGTTTCCGACCTCCCGGCCTTCCTATGTGCTCACTTGTGTCTGGTAACCCCTCTCTCCTCTCTCTGCACCAACTCCTATTCATCCTTTGAAACTCAGTTCATGTCTCCTCTTAACAGGAGGCCTTACTGATTCCCCAGTTCTTTTTTTTTTTTTTGTTTTTAAGATTTTATTTATTTATTTGAGAGAGAGAGTGAGCAGTAGAGAGCAGGAACAGGGAGGAGAGGGAGAAGCAGGCTCCCTGGCGAGGAGAGAGCACGGTGCAGTACATGATCCCAGAACTCTGGGATCATGACCTGAACCGATGGCAGATGCCCAACCGACTGAGCCACCCAGGCGGCCCACCCCCAATTCATTTTAATTGTCCTTACGTGTACAGCACAGAGTATGGATCTGTGCCAAATCCCAGGCCTTGGGTACAAATTCCAAGTAGGCCACTTACTAATTCTGAGTCCTTAAGCAAGTTATTTAACCTCTAGGCCACAGTTTGTACAACCATAAAATGGAGAACTTAACGTTATAGGGTTGCCATGAGGATTAAATACGGCCAGGTCTATAAGACCCTTAGCATAGTACCTGAATAAATGCTCAGTAGGAATTACCACTATCTCTGTCCTAGATAGTTCTTCCCACTGCCAAAGAATAATTTTCAAAATGGTAAAATCATAGGGGCACCTGGGTGGCTCAGTTGTAAGTGTCTGACTCTTGATTTTGGCTCAGGTCATGATCTCAGGGTCCTGATATTGAGCCCCAGGTCAGGTTCTGCCCTCAGCAGGGAATCTGCTTGAGATTCTCTCCCTCTCTCTCTGCCCTTCCCCCTGCTCACGTTTTTTTTTCCCCCCTCTCTCGCAAATAAATCTTTTTTAAAAAAGGTAAAATCAGGAACACCAGGGCGCCTGGGTGGGGTTAAGTGTTTGCCTTCAGCTCAGGTCATGATCCCAGGGTTCTGGGATCAAGCCCTGCATCGGGCTCCCTGCTCAGTGGGGAATTTGCTTCTCCCTCTCCCTCTGCCTGCTGCTCCCCCCTTCTTGTGTTCTCTCTCTCTCTGTCAAATAAATAAAATATTTTTTAAAAATAAAAAAATAAAATAAATTCAGGGATGCCTAGGTTGCTCAGTCAGTTAAAGTGTCTGACTCTTGGTTTCAGCTCAGGTCATGATCTCAGGTCGTGGGATCGAGCCCCATGTAGGGCTCTGTGCTGGGCATGGAGCCTGCTCCTCCTTGTCCCTCTGCTCCTCTCCCAGCTTGCACTCTCTCTCTCTCCTCTCAAATCTAAAAAAAAATGGTAAAATCTTAACTCTCATACAGATATAAAAATACATGTTTATATAAGTCATTAAGGAGGGAAGCAGTAAGATTTTACAACTGTTTCAATTGAGAAGTGGATTTATGGAGATTTCTCTACTGGACAGAATGCATTTGCACTGCCATCAATAGGAGCAACTTGCACTGTACACCAGACAGGGAGCATCTGTACTGCTTTCAGCCCTCTACAGGTTAGCTTCCATCTCCGCAGAGCTGTAATATAGCCCAGCAGAAGACAGACAGATGTGGAGATCCCTATAGAGCCAGAGAGCCCGGAACCCTAGAAAACTCACAGCCTTCCATTGACAGAACACCCAGGAATCCTTTGCCCATTTGTAAAACCTAACAATTTTTCCTCGCATAATAGTGCACAGCACTCATCAGTTTGCCTTTCTAGACCCTACCAGCTGTGAGCTGCTTGAGATGAGAGGAAACAACACACAAACTCATCGATCCATTTTGATTTTAGGGGCTGGAGAAATTTCTGCAGGAGGTGACATTTGAGCTGGGTAGAGAAAGGGAAGGCTACATTTCTGCTGGAGAAGAGCATTCAGAGAGCTGTGTTGGGGCCAGGGAAGAAGCAACTGGCAAGCAGGTGTTAAACACAGACTGTACCAGGCCCTGGGCTAGGCTAGGAAGATAGAGGAATGAGGCCTGCTCTCTGCTTTCAAGAAGCACTCAGTCTATTGTGGGAAATAAAAGGAAATCAAGGCTTACGACATAGTGTGATGAGGGCCCTGAAAGTCCAGATGCCAAACTTAGAAACTCAAGGGAACTGCTCACAATGTTGCCCAAGCCCAGGTTTGATGAAAGGCAAAACACAGGAGATCCCTGTGAGGCTCTGCGCGGCCTCAGAGAAATCAATGAAGAAGTGTCTGTTCTACACCCATAGTCAGACCCCTTCCTCTTCCTACCTGTGGCTGGACATTTGTTGCCAGATGGGTGGCCGTGGAAGAATCTGAGTTCCCTCAAATCTCTGGGAATGGAAGTCCTTATTATGGGCAGGGGTAACCCTGAAGCATTCCCCAAGTCTTACTTAGGGAACTAGCTCATTTAAAGTCATTGCAGGGGCGACTGGGTGGCTCAGTTGGTTAAGTTTCTGACTTTTGGTTCCATCTCTGGTCATGATCTAAGGGTCATGGGATTGAGCCCCGCATCGGGCTCCACACTCAGCGGAGAGTCTGCTTGAGATTCTTTCCCTCTGTGCCCCCCCACCACTCACACATGCACGTGCTCTCTCTTTCACTCTCAAATAAATCAATAAATCTTCAAAAAAAAAAAAGTCATTGCAAAGAAAACGGTACTCACCAGCTGAAAGGCAGTATGTTGAAAGGGGGATAATCAACAAGGAAACTCAGGAAAATGTGTTCTCCCCTAGAATTTAAGCTCTGTGAGGCAGGGAGTATCTGAATATGCTTATTATCTGATAGGACTCATTTGTTGAATATATAAAAAGAAAGGATGAATGAATGGGGGCTCCAGAGAAGGACCTGTTCAGGGAGACGAAACTGGCAGATTGGCTGTCCTGCTCAGTGCCCTCAGATGTAGTCAGTCAAAGACTGGCCTCGTTTAAATACTTGAAGCACCAGCCAACTCCTTGGATTTACTTTTCTCCTCACCAGACAACGCTCTGGCCGCTTCTATAGTTTTAGCTGCCTAATAGGAAATGATATACATAGCATGTTGGCAGGAACAGTCAGTCTGATTGCCTGCCATACTCTCCCTCTGAATTCTGGTATAAACCTGAGCCTCCAATGTCCGTCAGGCTCCCAAGCTCCATTCAACCCTAGGACACCAACAAGACCAAACCATTCTAAGTTCACCAAGGCGGTGCCGCCCAAGTGAGCCTCCCGCCCCACCGGCCTGGCAACACCTCCACCATAACATCCACCTCTTTTGATTTTGACCTGATCACTGAAGTGTTTCTCCCAACACTGCAGATCTGCTCCAACCACGGGAGGTGACCAACAGGGTCTCTCTTAGCAGCCTGGCTCTCTTAGCAGCCTCCCTGCCTCACACATCCCATCTGGGTCAGCCCGGGGCCTCTGGGACAGTCCCCAGGACCCTGCCTCCCTTGTGCTACCTTTCTCAGGAGGGGCAGACACCCGGAGCACCTGCTCGGGACCCACCATGGCAGTTAGGCCTGCGAGCCCACCCAGCCACCTCCCGCACCTGCTACACCTCACCCCATTTCCACCGAGGCTAGGTGGTGTGGTGGCTCTGGCCTCAGAGCCCGGCTCCAGCACTCCCTGGCCATGTGGCTCTGGGAAGGTCACTTCACTCCTCTGTGCCCCGGTCCCCTCATCTGCAAAAGAAGGGTAACAAGGGTTGTATCAGCCAGAGTTCCGTGCAGAAATCCGAACACTGGGGTATTTGGGGCAGAAAGTGATTCACCCAGGGGCTTAGGTGCTTGGGGGATGGTCAGGGTGGCTGGATGGGGGAGGGGAGGAGGGTAGGCTGAGGCTTGAGAGGATCTGCCCCCTGCCCTGGAGCCTCCGGAGCTGCGGGCATCTGGAGCCACAGGGCTGTGAGCAGGGATGGGACTGCGCCCAGGACACCAGGAAAAGACGCAGGTCTGCATGACCCTGTGTGTCAGGAGGGAGCAGCCAAAGCCCAGGAAGGCGGCCTCTGGCTCCCTTCCACCTTCTGAGTCCCAGGTGAGGGCCGAGCATGGGCTCACAGTGGACACTCACACTCTGGAAGGAGGCAGCCTGGGAAATACAGCTGTAGCTTTCTGCCTGCAAAGGACAGGAAATAGTGGGGAAGGGGCCTTGGGTGCTCCTCGGCCACAAGAGGGTTAACCACAACTGGGTTTGTGCCTGGAGAGAGCTCACCGCACCCCCCCAAGGCACACAGCAGGTGCTGAAGGAAGGCGGTTCTGGGGAGGGTTCTGGGGAGGCTCCGGTGGTGGTGACAGCCAGCTCCAGGCCAGGCCCCAGGAGATACAACAGCGAACAAGACAGAGCCCGACCCTGAAGAAGGGCTGACCCTCCAGGGCCAGCAGAGACTGGAATCATCAAGGAATGTGGTTGGTGTAACAGTGTGTCTGTCCTAAAAGCCTGGGGAGCACAGGGAGCTGA